TGAGCCCAGGAGTTTAAAGTTGCTGTGAGCTAGCCTAATGCCACGGCACTTTAGTCTGGGCAACAGACTGAGACTGTGTCTCAAAAATAAAAAAATAAAAATAAAGAAAATGTTAAGCCTGGTTTCCTAGGGCTTTCCTGTATCTGCCTACCTTAGTGGTTGGCCTGTGATTGGACAGAAGATGTACTTAATACATCTTGAGCCAGTAAAGCTTGTTGTGTTCTCTACTGATGGATCTGTGTGTGGGCAGGAGAGCTCTTTCAATGTTCAGGCTATTTTCAGGTCTTCCAGGTTTTACTCTCTACTGGGCCATTTTGTGTCTCCTATATACAAGTACATAGCCACAGGGCAGTCCAGGAGAGCACGAGTAGTTTGGGACACCACCAGTCTCCAGTCAGACAGGAATGTGCTTGCCATAGCCACTTTCACAACCTCAGTCTAGTAGAGCTGTTAGCTCTCCCCTGCTGGCACGCCTCCAAGAAGTCAGGTCCACTGACAATGACACTGGGAGTGGGTATTGCTCACCAATCCAAATTGAGTGAGCTCCCTTCAAACCTAGGCAGAGAAGCTGCTAGTCTTCATGGCCTGCCTTGCCTTGGCAGAACCTCCATGCCAAACAAGCTGGGAGAGATGGGAGCAGCTCTAGATCAGAGTGCCACAGACACCCACTATTCTTATCCAAAGTTCAGCTTCTCAGATTATCATATACCTTTGGCTGATTTCCAGGTCAAAAAGCTTACTTTTGTCAGTTTTGCCCAACTTTATAAGTATTTGAGGTTATTGGCTGATATCATTTGGCCATAGCTGGAAGTCCTGCCCTTTTAACTTTTTTTTTTGTCCTACCCTATAGATGGATCTCTTAGAAATAGCTTATAGCTGGATTTTTAAACAGCCTGTCTTTAACTGGAGAATTTGATCTATTTATTTTGCTTAGTGATTTTTAGATGTATTTCTAACATAATGTTATGCTTTCAACTTATTTTAATGTTTTTGTTCCTTTCTGTCTCTTGACTTCTTTTGGATCAATTGAGATTTTGCTTCATTATTTGATATTCTTTTACAATTTTGGAAATAAAACATTTTCTTTATTTTCTAGTTACCCTCAAAAATGCAGCATACATATTTCTGTTAACAAAGCTTAAAGTCATTCAACATTGATTTGGCCATGAGAGAGTGACAGGATCCAGAATTACCCTCTCAACATAAACAATTAGAAAATTAGGCAAAATATATGAACCAATCGTTTTCAGATGGTGGGCAACAGTCAATGAGAGACTATCGTCCCTGAAAGAAATGAAATGAACTAGGTGAGCTCTGCCACCTGGGCTTTCTGGCTGAGGTAGAGGAAGCACAAAAATGTGACCCATCATGAGAAGAAAAATGAGCCAATGAAAATGGATCTAGGGGAGTTTAAGTTTCTGGTCCGGCATGTCAAGAGCTTGGAAGTCATCAGTATGTTCTAACAACAAATAAAAGCTGAACAAACATAAAATCAACAACTCCTCTTAGATCTATCAGAGAATTGAGGTCACAGGACAAACTGCTGCCCCCCAAACTGGAGAGACAGACAGATGCATACAGAACTGTAATTACCAAATTGCTGGAGGCTTAGGGCAGACAAGTCTGAAAGTTAAACTCCAGGGAGGGGCCGGTCTTAGGAGGGTACCCATACTTTTGTGAGTTTTACCTCTAGGAGCTTGACCAGGTTCTCAGAGTGAAAAAAAATCTCCTCATGCTTCTGCCAGGGGGAGGGAAAAGTAAACATTTTGAGATATGTCCAGAGCATTCTCTTCTCCTTAACAAGGCCTGCCCTCAGGAGAAACTATTTTACCAGAACCTAACCTAAGAGGGTTTTATCAGAGCCTAACCAACCTGGGGGAAGGGAAATACCCAACTCCAGCCCCTTGCAGCCATCCTGTACCACCTGAAGGGGGCATGATCCTAGAAGCACTGATGAAGGTCACAGTCTGGGGCACAGGCTCACCATAAGACTAAGACCTAATTATAGGAGTAGAGAATGCCTTATCTCCCTCTGCACCTCACCACCACATCACTAAAGACCTATTTGCAATGGTTCCTTTTACCCAGTACAGCATGCCCCACTTTCTTTTTCTTGTTTTTTTTTTTTTTTTTTTTAAGACAGGGCTGGAGTGCAGTGGCATAATCATAGCTCACTATAACCTTGAACTCCTAAAAAAACAAAAAAGAGAAAAGAAAGTGAAAAAAAAACCCAAAACAAACAAAAAACCCAAATGTAACCTCAAATTCCTGGGCTCAAGTGATCCTCCTGCCTCAGCCTCCCAAGTAGCTGGGACTACAGCCACACACCACCACACCTGGTTAATTCTTTAAATTACTTTTTGTAGGGACGAGGTCTTGCGATGTTGCCCAGGCTTGCCTTCCAAAGTGCTGGGATTACAGGTGTGTGCCACCACACCCAGCCAAGTCCAACTTTGAACAAAAAAATTAGAAGGCATACTAAAGGGCAAAAAACAGTTTGAAGAGACAGAACCAGCACCAAAACCAGACTCAGAAATGGCAGGAATATTGGAATTATCAGACCAGAAATTTAAAATAACCATGATTAAAATACTAAGGGCTCTAATGGAAAAAGTAGACAATATGCAAGAACATGATGGCCACAATTAGCTGCAAGGTATGATGGGAAATAACATTTCTAGCTGGGAAGCCATATACCCCATTAACCTTTGGTCATTTTATTTCTAAAAGGCATAAGGGGAGAGAGGCTACTCGGTGACACTCAGCAGTCTCTTCCACAGTATCTTTCATCACTTTTGGAAAATTCCCAGCCATTGTCTATCAAAATACTGCATATTCCCTATTCTGTTTATTTTTTTTTTCTTCTAGAAATTTAACTAAATATATGTGTGAGCTCAATCTATCTTATTGCCTCTTTGTGCTGCATTCTGGGTAATTTTCTTAAATCCATCTTCCATTTCACTATTTCTCTCTTCAGCTGTGTTTAATATGCCTTTTTTCTTTCTTTTTTTTTTTGAGACAGAGTCTCACTCTGTTGCCCCGGGTAGAGTGCCATGGCGTCAGCCTAGCTCACAGCAACCTCAAACTCCTGGGCTCAAGCGATCCTTCTGCCTCAGCCTCCCAAGTAGCTGGGACAACAGGCATGCGCCACCATGCCCGGCTAAGTTTTTTATTTTTGGTAGAGACGGGGTCTCGCTCTTGCTCAGGCTGCTCTCAAACTCCTGAGCTCAAATGATCTGTCTGCCTCTACCTCCATCTCCCAGAGTGCTAGGATTACAGGTGTGAGCCACCGCAACCGGCCTAATATGCTATTTAGCCCATATCTTGAATTTCCAATTTCAATTGTATATTTTTAATTTCCAAAGTTCCATTTGGTCCTTTTTCAAGAGTCTGGTCATTTTATATTCTCTTGTTCTTTTGTTATACTTTCATTTTCTTTAAGCATATCAATTATACTTATTTTATATTCTGTGTCATAATTTCAAAATCTGCCATCTTTGCAGGATTGATATTTAAATTTATGTTTATATGTTTCTGTCACTGATAGTGGCTTGTTTCCTTGTACATTTTGTGCTTTTTTTATTACATATTTTAGAGTTTTTTATAGTAATTCTTTGAGGCCTATGGTTACAGTATATCCCTCCACAGAGGATTTGTGCTTGCTTCTGCTGGGGATCCTGGGGCAACACTACCTCTGGACCACTTCAATTAAAAGTTTAAAAAAATTTATTTTCCTAATATTTTAAACTTTGCTATTTTTATTGGGCTGTCACAATCTAAGTAAAATCTGTGTGTAAGATAATCAAATGCAGCTTCAAGACAAATCCAGGACCCTCCCCCCTCCTACAGATCACTGTCTTTATGTCCCTCCAAGAGAGAAATTACGGAGCATCCACTACTCTATGCCTAGACCACTCTAAAAGAAAATTTCAGCTTGTGGATATAAACTCTCAAGAGGTTTGTGGGGGCTCCTTTTATTTCAATTCCACCCAGATCCAAGGTAAGCACACACCCTTCACTTCTTTCTTTGAGGTATTTTTTTTATAGGTTACCTATTAGTTTTCTGTTGCTGCTGTAACAAATTACCACAAATTTAATGGCTTAAAACAACACAAATTTATCTCTTATGTTTCTGGAGGTCAACAATCCAAAATAGATTTCACTGGATTAAAATCAAGGTGTCAGTGGGGCTGCATGCCTTGAGGCTTCTGGCTTGGGGCACAGGAGATACCCTGGGCTCTGGGCTAGTAGCCCTGGGGCTGGCTTACCGCTCTGGACTCAAGGATCCTACTGCAGAGCTGTCCTAATTTCCCCAGCAGCTCAGCCATTCACTCACCTGTTTTGAGATTTCATCCCACACTTCAGGGGTTTGGACCAGAGGGCTTCTCTGGCCATCTGGCATACGTTGCTCACAAAACCTCCACTACGTTGTCAGGCCGCAATTGCTCCCACCCACTCCCAGCTGCCCTCCTACTCTGCCACGTCTCTGCGGGGGAGAATCCCAGCTTTAGAGACCCTTCCAGCTGCAGTGTGGAGAAGGCGGCATCCCGAACTAAGGAGAGATGCTGGCCCCATTTGTCACTTTAGGTGGCCCAAGGGCCTACATAGGGATCTTTTTGTACCCCACCCTGGGCCTTTGCAGACCGGATTCCAGTGTCAGTCAGAGGGACACACACTTGGACATGCAAGTCTTCCCGTGTCTCTGCCCAGCTTGGGTCCTGCACTCAGGAGACTTCACGGCAGGGCTGCGATCTGACCCTGCGTGGTATCTGGGGATCAGCTGCTCAATCCCATGGTCAATTGTGGGCCAGTGGCACTGCATACACACCACAGAGCTTACTCATTCACTGTGCCTATTGTTCCTCGGTTCTTCCTCTCCAGAAAGGAGAGGGGTAGCACTTGAGTCCCTCACCCTTTCCACTGTGGGCAGGCAAGAGACTGCAAGGGCCTCTTGCCTCACCTTCTCCAAACCTGCCAAGACACTAAGGAAGCAGCTTCCCTCTCTGCTCAGTATCTTAAGTACACCGTTTATTCAGGAGGAACAATGAAAGAAAGCAACTATGATGAGGATTACAAAACCAAGCACAGGCCCTCCTACAGGTTCAAGGACTAGATGGTCCAATGTGTGACAAGGACTGCCAGCCCTGGGCTGGGTGAGAAGTGGGCTTGCATGCGTGTGTGAGCTCAACATGCACACACAGGCACACACCTGTCGCCCACAGGGGTGGGTGGGACTGCAATGAATGACTGGGTTTGTCTGCAGGCTAGCCCCTTCCCCACCCTCAAAACCCACAGGGCTGTGTGGGCCCAGTAACAGGAAAACTGAGCCTTCTTCTTCCCCTCCAACTCCCTGGCTCTCTCTCTGAGACCCCATCTCCTCCGGTGGCAGTTTGACCACCTTCAGTCTCAAAGAGCCCCAGTGATCCCATCAAGACATTTGGCGGAAGAGGAAAAGAAGAGGGAAAAAACAGTCAGGGCGCCAGATGTGTGGTGGAGAACCTGCCCAGTGCTCCCAGGCTATGGATGCTGGGTGGCTGTTGCACCTCTGGGTCCACATCCCCTGAAAAGCCCAAGCCCTTGGTGAAAAAGCAAGGAGGTGACTGCACTGGTGATGATGGCGAACTCCCCAAGCGGCCATTTGGGGACAGGAAAGGGACTGGGAGCCAGTCCCTGTGGCAAATGAGGTGGCACACCCTTCTTGAAGGGGGAACCGCAGGGAGGCCCAGGGCCCAGCCTAGCTGTCTGACCACCTGGGGCCTGGGCTGGGGAACAGGCAGCCGCCTGGAATGGTCCCTCAGATAGGGAATGCCCCCCCAAAGAAAAAAGTAACAGTCGCAGAAGAGGCAGGTTCTGGAGCGTGGCCCTGCCCGAGAGTCGAGAGTCGTGTGGTTCAGGTGGGCGGCCCCAGGGCCGGCCCATAGGCACGTGTCGCGGGATTCCCGCGGATGTCTTGAGTGGGCAGGGCAGGTCCTAGCTCCACCCCCGCCTCCCTACACAGCTGAGTGAGGTATTGCGCCCCCGCCCCGCCCGGCCCTGCCCCTGCCCCTGCCGGCAGGGAACACCCACCGGGCCTGGGGGCCCTAGGTGGGGTCCAGCTGAAAGACGCCATCACTGGTGGGGGTAGTGAAGAAGGAGGGCAGGTTGCAGGCGGAGTCTTGCCCCCCGCCCCGCTCCAGGGAGTGCTGCTCTTCGAGCCGCAGGCTGCGCTCGAAGTCCAGCAGCTGCCCCATGAAGTTGAAGTTGGGGGAGATGTTAGACTTCTTCCTCTTGACCAGGTCGTAGGCGTCGTTGAGTGAGAGGTGGAGCTTCTGCATGAGGTAGGCCACGGTGACGGTGACAGAGCGGCTGACCCCTGCCAGGCAGTGAACGAGCACCCCGCAGTTCTGGGACAAGGCCTCATCTAGGTGGGGCAGGCAGGGTTGGGGAGATCCCAAGGGCCAGCGTGAGGGAGGCAAAGGCCTTCCGGAAGGGCCCCCAGAGCCCCTGCCCTGCCCTCAGAGTAGTCCTGGAGGTTTCCCTGGAAGCCTCTGGGAGCTGGTCTGAGCTCTGCCCGCCCCCCAGAAGTGCCATCCTGGCTCTGGGCTCTGAGAATGGTAGCTAAGCCTGGGAGGAACTGTCATGAGGGAGAGGAGAGAGAAATGGGAGAGGTGGGAGCCTGGGGGGGTGGGGGTGGAGAGGTCGGAAAGGGGGTGGGTCAGGCAGACTCACCAATGAATGCAATGGCCTCTGGAAAGAACTGGGACAAGTTCTGGCTCCAGTGGTCAGAGATGGGGATCTGCTTGTAGTGAAAGTCGCCATTCTTCTCAAAGAGGTTAGGGAAATTAGGGGTGACATTGAGGATGTAGCGGATGCCCAGCTTGGCCAGGCTCTCCAAGTTGGCTGAATCCTGGGCACTACCCAGGTAGAGGTTGGGCAGGATCTGGACAGGGAAGGATGGCAGCAGCCCCACTGGAGGTGGCGTGGCACCTTCTGAATCCAGGCCACAGCTCATGGAGTCTCGGTCAGCCTCAGATTCCCCATCAGAGCAGTCGGAGCCCAGGCACAGGCCACCCAGCCCCACCACGGGCACTGGGCTGGGCATTGGGGCCGTGCTCAAGCCAGTACGGCCATTGAGGCTGGTCTCACACAAGTGAGGACACTCGGCCTGGAATCGGCTGAAGCCACCTGTGGAGGAGAGGGTGCGGGTCCTGCTGGCCTGGTCTCCTGGGCAGCCAAGTGCCCCTGGCTGGGGAGAGGGAGCTGACCCTAGGAAGCCTGGAAGGTTTGCAGATGTCCCCACACAAAAACCTGCAGCCTGATCTATTCTGGTGGCCACACGTGGAGGATTGTGGGCACCCACAGTCAGCATGGCTGGCCACTCCTTTGGACAGCAAATACCCACCCCATGTAGAACCACCCAAGAGGATCTTACGCCTCCAGGGCTAAGCTGAGGCAGGTGTGAAGGCTCAACAGAGCCTAGATGTACTACTACCAGCCTCAAGGAGGACAGCAGCCATCTGTTAAAGAAGGGGAAAGGTTCACATGGCAGTTCTCTGCCTGGGTGTCTCCTGATCCAGTGTGACTGGGAGCACCCTCAAGGATGAAGTGGGGCCCCAAGAGGTGGGAAGCATGGGAGAGAGTGTGACATTCCACCTGAATGGTTACAAAGTCCCAAGAAGCCAACATCTCCCTCATCTACAGATACTACTTTTTCTCAGGACTAGGGGTGGAGGCCCACATACCTGACACTTTATATATTTATATATCCCCAATACAGTCCTATGACCTTTCTTGGTGACAGCTAGCTCTATAGGTTCATGGAAACCCTGTTTCTGCCTTGGGCCTCTAGGGGGAGTGGTATTGGGCTCAGCCTTCCCTTGACCCACCCCTAGTCCTGCCAAGACTATGGGGGTGGGGGTGGAAGGTAGGTCCCTGCCGCCCTCTGAGTAGCTGGGAAAGGAGAGATACCACTACGGGGACACTGGGGAGCCCACACCTGGTACTTTGTTCTTGAGCATCCTGTGAACTATGTCAGGTCTGCCCAATTCTTCCCATTTTCCAGACTCAGAAACTAGGGCTTCCAAGGACGAACGAAGAAAGTAGCCTGGCAGATTATCAGGGGAGGCAGTTTCACCTCCACTTTAGGCAAACTGAGGTGGGGCTCGTCCAATGTCAAATTAATTGCGAATCTCCTGGGAAGGCAGGGCGCTGCCTTCCCAGGCCCCGGTCTTCCCCTGACCGGTGCCCGCCGCCCCGCCGCTGCCGCACCTACCCTGGAGGTAGTAGGCCAGGTAGCCTTCCTCCCGTAGCTTCTGGAGCAGCGTGCCCAGCACCGACTCGGCCTCCCACTCCTCGGCCTCGTTCTCCCCGCGCCAGCGCCGGCCCGCGCCCTGGTCGTACAGGAGCACCGGGGCGGGCGGGGGCGGCTGCAGCGGCGGCCCGGGAAGGAGCGCGCGGACCGACAGGCTCCCCCTCCGCAGGCGGCGCAGCAGCAGCGCGGGCAGGGCCACGCTCAGCGCCCCGCCGATGCGCGCCGACTCGTACAGCTCGCGGCTGCGGCAGTCCAGGAGCAGCAGTGGAGGCCGCGGGGGCGACAGCTCCCGGCGCAGCCACAAGCACGAGCGACCCAGGCCCTCCATGGGCGCGCGGCTCCCTACACGTCTGGCCGCGGGCACTGTGGAGAGAGGGAAGGCGCGGCGTGAGCCAGACTCTCCCGCCTGGCCGCCGGCCGAGGGGACCAAGACCTGAAGCCAGCCCCTTGTCCCAAAGGCGGGCGCCCAGCGTCCGGCAGGAACACTCCTCCACCGCCTGCTTCTCTTCTCGCACCCCTCCCACAGTGAGGACAGGCAGAAAGGCACCCCAGGAAAAATACCCGAGGCAGCCATTCGGGCGCCCGCGGGAAGGAAAGTGTGAGGGGTCCCCCAGAAGATGGCTAAGCATCTATCAGCCCCTTCGAGGCTTATCCTGGGGCGCCCCAAGGCCACAGCCACCGCCCTCCACATCCCTTTTCTGTTTCTCTCTCAGCCTGATGTGATCATTCCCCAATTTTGAGCTTCCGACTTTGGGGATGTGTGCGTGTGAGGGGCTGGGGGTTCAAGGCCTAGATCTCCCTCACAGCCAGGTGGGCCAGGGGAACAGTGGTGGCACCGAGGTCATGGGCCTCGTTGAGCCCTCACTGAGTTGACCCTGTCCTGGCACACCGCCCCACACCCCCACCCAGGAGAGAAAAGGAGAGAGACCTGGAGCGCAATCCGGCAGCGGGCGACTGCACGTGGACGTCCCTGCCATGGCCACTGCCACGGCGGGGCGCCGTCCTTGGGCAGAGAGTCCCCAGGTGCGGCCGCCAGGAGGGGCGGAGCGGTGGAGCAGGCTCACACGTGGAAACCGAGCTCCAAACCCAGCGCCGATGGCGCGCCGGCCGCTTCCTGGCAGGGGGACCCAGCTTCTACTCTAGAAGCTGTTGCCTTCGGACGTGGAGTTGCAGCTCAGAGGGGCGGGGCGGCGGGGCGGGCTCAGCGGGGCAGCGAGCCAATGGGTGCTAGTGAAAGCAGTCAGGTGGTACAGGCGAGTAGCAGGCTGAGCTGGGGCTTCCACCCAGGTGGGACAGGGTCAGGGCAGAGGCCAAGGGCAGGTCAGGGGCCCAGCAGGGGCCAGCTGCAGTTCCCCTGGCCGGCTCCAGCTTGGGCCCTGGAGGCAGGGGGAGGTGTGAGGACAAGAGCCTGGGCCTCTGCTCCAGAAGCTGCCTCCAACCAAATTCACCCAGTGATCCTGGACCATCTTATCACCTGCCTGGACTTCAGTGGCCCCATCTATACAATGGGCTTATCATAGCCACCACCTTGGGCTACCAAGGGATGCCACTGAAATCATGGAAGAGAGAAGGAGGCAGGACCAGAAACCTACTGTTGCCTTCAGCCCAGAGCCCTGCCCAAGGCTGGCTGGAGGGCTAGGAAGGCAGAGGGCAGCTCCTGGGCACCCCCACCCCTTCATTTGCACAGGCCTGGGCAAAGGCAGCCAGGAGCTCCAAGTCACCCTTGCCTCCTTCCCTTAACATGCCTAGGACAGATCAATCTGGAGGGAAGTAATTTCTACTCAAATATCCCCCACATCCGCACTCTCCCCTGTCCCTTGCACTGTCTAAGTGCTCACACTCACCAGCTCCTGGTCAGGTCACCATCACATCTTCCAAAACAGTCTCCCTGCCTCCAGGCCTGTCTGTGTCAGTCTGCCCTCTACTCTGCCCTGCCTGCCCCATGCCAGAATGCCATTCATTCAACAAAGGCCGGTGGCCTCCCTCCTTGGCCTCCGTGGGCACAGGGCAATGAACAGGCAGGACACACAGGGTCCCTGCTTGCCCAGTGTCTTGTTGATCTAGCAGGACAGATCAATAATCAGCAAGGAGGCTGGACAAACTATCAGGTGAGATAAGTGCTGGGACAATGAAACAGGGTCAGGGGGAGGTTTCTAAAAAGCCAATAGGCTAAATGTCCCTTCTCTACTTAAAGCCCAGTACAAGTAAATAACAGTGTTGAAGGAAAATGTATGACAGATAAGTTAAACTCATACAAATTAATCAAAAGGTTAAGACCCTGGTAGATAAATAAGCAAGGAACCTGAAAAGACTGCATATTGCATGAAAGAGGGAATGCAACGGGGTAAAAAATATGTGAGGTAAGGTTCAACCTCAGGCATGGAAGGAAAGCAAATTCAAAAAACAAGGGAACAATAACAAACAAGGTTACACATCCCACCTACTACACTAGTGAAATGTTCTCAAAATGAGAACACTCAGTGCTGGCAAGGCTGCTGTGAAAGCATGCTGTTCTTTTGTTGGAGCATTATATATATATTGGTATGGCCCTTTTGGAAATTAATCTGGCAATATCAAGAGCTAAGAAAAAAAATCCAACCCTTTGGCCACTTATGGGAATCTACTCTAAAGAAGTAAAGCAAAAGAAAGCAAAGCTATGCACATAGGGATAGGCATCACAAAACATTTTTCTGGGGAGTGAAAAATGCAAACCAACCTAGAAGTCTAGCATTTAGAAAAATGAAACACAGTCCATTCGTATGTCTGTTGAGAAGACTCCTCTTATGACTCACAGAGTGAGATGAGAGTGTGTGAGGTAATGGTAAAGGGAAGAGTGCAGGTCACAGACAGCTAGGTCACCTCTAAGGGGCCTCCAGTTTGCTCTTCTCCTTTCCACTCCCATAGTGGGCCACCAGCATGGGACTCCTAGGACCCTGGTAGTGGGCTCATCTCAGGCCCCACCCCACCACATCCCTGACTTTAGATTGAATCCCGATACTTGCAACCAGGGACTGTGGGCACCTGGGCCATGCCTCTCCTTCCCTTTTGCCCTGTGGACACAACCCCAGGCCACTTTCCCAGACTCTACTCACTCTTCATGCCCTCCAAGGCAGCCTCCTCCAGGCAGCCTTCTAGTCTCAGGGCCAGCCTGAAGGCCTCCCTTCTGTGCCCCACTCCCCTTATCAGTGTGCTCCTGGGGCAGAAACTGCTACCTTCTCCTGTTTCTCACACCCCAGCTCCACAGTGGCAGAGGTGGGTACCAGCTGTGGGTCTGCACGGTGGGACCTTGGAGTGGGCAGGAGTTGAAGACATCATGGAGGTTCTGCCATGTGCCAGCCTGGTTGTGGATAGTGAGAGTGGCACAGGGCTGTGGCAGGCAGGGAGTTGGAGAGACTGTACCCCACCTGCCCTGTCGTGGGGGCGCAGCGTGGCTGGAGAGGGAGAGGATCGCCAATCCAGGGAGGCAGTAGCTTCTGAGGTGCCCAGGTTGCTCTCTGAAGAGGGCTCCCTGGAGGAGGTGAGGGGAGCTGGCTGGGGAGGAGGATGGAGAGAGAGGGGCAACCTCTGCCATGGTGAAGGAAGGGAAAGCCTAGGTTCCCCCAGTCCACCATCTCCCAACGCCTGAAGGGTGGCTACCCTGCACCTTACCCAGACCCCTGCTGGCAAGCCCTCCAACCCAGGAGAGCGCTGGGGAGTGTGGGATGAGCATCCATCTCGAAAGTCAGTGCTCAGTGCTTGGCGCCTGCAACGCCCGGCAGCGCCAGCAACAGGACAAACGGGAACCTGTTGCCACCTCCGCACTGCAGTGCTGAGCACAGCCAACCACCCTCCCATGGCCAGGCCTGCCCCACTCAGGCCCCCTGTAGCGCCTGCTCTGGGCGCCGGCCCTGCCCCGAGGCCGCTCTCCGGGCAGGCTGTGCTCGGTTCTGGGGCGCAGCGCCGCGCCCGGGCATCGACTGGCTTCCTCCAGCGGGCGTAGCTAGGCCGCACACTCCCTGCTCGCCGCAGGGTGGGCGCTGCGCCCGCCACCCCCATCCCCGCCTCCGCCCGGCCGGGCCAGCGCCCTCTGGAGTCCTCGGGGACGCGGCCGCCCGCAGGCCCCGCGCGCGCCGCGTGCGCCCTCTGGTCCCGGGAGCCTCCCAAGCGCAGCGTCCCGCCTTCCCCCCGAGAAATGCACTGTTCCCGCCGGGCCCGAGTGGCAGGATTTCGGCTGTCTTGGCTCGGTCACATGGCCAGGAGCACAACTCCCAGCGACTGCGTTCCTGCCAAATCCAGTGTCTTTTCCACCAAATCCACTTTCCGCTGGGGATAGCTTTCTGCATTTCCTGGTCAGTCTCCTCGCGGGACTGGGAGTTCCTCCAAGGCAGGAACGGGTGTGTGCCCGGCCCCAAGCTGGCCCCAGCCCCCAGTGCAGGGCCTGGCACGCGCCCAGCGCTCACGGAAGAAATGCTCGTTAACAAAGAAGGCATGAATGAATGAAACCAATTGTTGCCTGAGGGAGCCCAGGAGGGTGCTGCTCCTGCTTTTTCCTTCTGCCGAGCACACACTCCTCCCCCACCCCCAGACACGCACAAGCACACGTGCACACACAGCCCTCCCCCCAACATACAAGCAGACAGGCACACAGTGCACGGGGACCCCAGCCCTCCAGGAACCGATCTACTATGTGCATGCCAGGCACTGGAGCCCCTTTGGTCCCACCTGGGCCGCCTCCATTTCAGCGCCTCTGTCTGTCTCCTCTCTACCCCCTTCCCGCAGCTTCTCGCCTCCCAATCTAAGTACTCTACCGTGGACCCTAAGTGCCTTCTTTATCCCTTAGGGAAGAGGCCAAGTCAGTCGCTAGGGAGTCTCAAGGTCTGTTTAGGTAGGCACCTGGGGGCCCAGGCTCGTGAGCCGCTGCCAAAGGAGAGCCAGAGGTGCCTGGCAGGGATGCCACCAAATGCTGCAGCCTCTAGAGCCCGCGTGCCAGGTGTTGGGGGGGAGTGGTGGGAGGGACTCAGGCATGGCTGGGGGTGTCAAAGGCGATTTGCGATGGAGGCGGAGCAGGATGCTGGGGAGTGTGCGATCCAGCAGGTGTGCGAGCATGCTAGGACGTGTGAGAGTGGTGTTGGCGATGCTGGAGGTGTGTGCCTGGGGAGTGGGTTTGTGTTGGGACTTCGCTCTGGGGTGGATGAACTGCAGTGTCTGGGCTGGGAACATGGGTGGGGGGGTCTGTAATGGGCATATGGAGAGTGTGAGGTGGTGGGGGCCTCGTGGGGGGAGCTATGTTAGTGCAGGTATGGCAGAGATGTGTTAGAAGCCTGTGTGCCCGCTTGGGTGTGTACTGGGGCGTGGCAGAGTCTGGAATGGGTGTTAGCGTGATTTGGGGACAGTGGTGAGTGATGGGTCAGGGACTGCTAACGTGTGCACTACAGGGACCAGGGTCCGTGGTTTGTACGCGCGCGAGTGTGCTGCCCGTGTAAGTGGCAGGGGACACGGGAGGTGTACGGGCGTGGTGCGGGGGTGTGCCGTGTCAGGACCAAATGTGTCTTGCAGGGGCTAGTGCGTTGGCCTCGTGGGGTGGGCGTCGTAGGACTTTGAGGGTGCAGAGTGGAGGAGTGCACGTCGGGGGGCAGCCAGGCCTGGTGGGGGTGGGGTGGGGTGGGGTGGGGTGGGGGCCCCTGAGGTGCCGCGTGCTCTGCTCACCTCTGCTCCGCTCCGCTCCCTGCGCTGGCTCAGTGCGGTCGTGGTCGGGAAGTTTCCGAAGCTCTGGCGGCGGGAAGAGCCGCCGCCAAATGCCACCGGAGCCCCGGGCGGCGGCCTCGCCGGGAGCCGAGGGGCCGCCGCCGCCGCCGTTGCGGAGGGAAACTCCAAATCCCGCCTCCGCCGCCGCCTACTCCCCTCCCGTCTTCTCCACCCCCTGCCCAGGAGGGGCAATGTCGCCCGCGGCGCGCAGGGAGGGAGAGGGGAGGGGCCGCGGCCTGCCCAGCGTCTCTCTCCACCTCCCACGTCCCCGCCCGCCTTCTTCCCACCTGCAAGCCTCTGCCCTTTCCGCTGTGCTGCCCGACGCGCCCTGCGGTGCCCGACCCGCAACAGCGCTACTGTGTGTGTGGGCTTCCGAGCTTGGGGTGACGGAGTGGTGTGGGAGGACCTGACCTAGGCTGGGCCTGGGGATGGGGGGTGCACCGCAGAGTCTACACTGGCACCCCAGGGAAGAGGCCCATTACGGACTGAGCACAGCTTGGCCCCCAGGGCCACCTTTCGCTCCCACATTGGGGACAGTAAAAGGTCCAACTGACAGCGCTGCAAGTGGCCCACTCCCCCAGGTCCCTCCCCCGCACTGTCTCCTCTCATTCTCTTGTGTCAGATTCTGGCTAATAGCAAGAGCATTTCAGCCTCAGTGTCTGGAAGGGGTGGAGCCAGGAAGTTGGGGGAAGGGCTGGGAGCGAGTGGGGAGGAGGTGTTGTCACCAGGTCCGGTTTGCTTTTCTCTGTACCAAAGGTCACAAGCATTCCTGTCAAGGACCTCATTTTATCCTCACACTAGTTCTGGAAGTCAGAAGACAACGTTCCCATGCTACAGCTAGGGAAACTGAGGCAGTGGTTGCATAATAATATGGTGGCAGAGCTGGACTGGGCTCAGGCTGGCTGTGTTCAGAAGCCTAGAGCCTTGGCCAGTGTGAGTACAGAAGCCCACAAGGCCTGGCCTGGCTCACTGCTGTGGGGGAGGGGAGTCAGGGAGCCCAGAGGGGCATGGGCCCTGCCTTTCTGGGGCTCCCAGGCCAGAAGTGGGCAGACGGGCCCACGCCTGCAGTGGGGAGGTGCTGAGAGCCAGAGGCCGTGGGCTGTGAAGGGCTGGCTTCTTGGCCCAGGGAGAACAGGTACAGTGGGGCCAGGCAGGGCTAGGATGCCAGCAGTGGCTCCATGGATGGCACAGCCAAGGCAGGCCTGGCTGCCTGGCTGTGTCTGCGGCAGCACTGCATTGCCCTGAGTCATTACCCCAGGAGAAGAGAGGAGGGCAGCAGCTTTGCCTCTGAAGCCCAAGTTGCTATCCCATCTCTCGCCTCAATCTCCTGGGCTGTACATTTGTGGAGAGAAGTGGGCCCTCCTGGCCCTCCTCAAGCCATGATTTGTGAGCTGGGGAGGGTCCTGCCGCTGCCAGCCTGGCATGCCAGCCCTGTCCTCTTTGCCTTTCCAGCCTCAGCCTCGGCTCAGCGTTCCCAGGTGGAAGCCATGGGCCCTGCAGCCCTTTCCCTGCTCTGGCCTTTCAGGTCTGCCCTGTGGACAACACCAACTGGGGCCCACCTCTTCAGCATCAGGGAGCTGAACTGTTCAGGACTGGAGCTTGGATCTGCCAAGGCAACCTCACACAGGCCACCAAACGAAACTGCATGCGGGTTCCCTGCCGCTGGCCCCGTGTTGGACGGTCCACACTACCAGTTGTTCCGAAGTTATGGGACTTTTTCTAAGAAATCGACCGTGCCCTAAAAAGATGGGGTTGGCTTTCACCCCCTGAGTGGTCCTCCTGTTTGGGGAGGAGTATAGCAGCTGTGTCCATGGCCAGGGCACTCAGTTGACCCTGGCAAAGGCTAGGTGATCTGACTCAGAGGAGTTTCTAGAAAGGTTGGATAATCATCCCCCTTCCACCATCCTGTGCGCTTTAGTGACTCAGGGCTGAAAGGATGGGGGAAAACATTTGAATAATGCTGCCCCCCACCCCGGCAAAGCTCCCACCCCAGCCCTCCCACAGTCTCTGCTCTCCAGGCAACAAGACCCACCCATTGCTGGAGAGAAAAAAGCAAATGATCAGAGATGTCCTGTCCAAAGATGTCCCAGGAATTTTAAGGCATAGTCTTGCTGGGCCTTTGGAGACAGGCCTCCCTCCTCATTCCCAGGGGCTGGGGAATGAAATGCAGAAACTTCTCAAGGGAGACTTGAGTGGAGTTCGAGTCAGAGGATGGCGGGTACAGCTGGGCCTGCCTCTCTGAAGCAGCCCAGTCCACCTACCCAGGTCCTGTCTGCTTCTGACAGAAACCGCAGGGGGAGGTGGCTGGCCAGCCCAAGCCCTCACCCTCTCCTCTGTGCCCCTGCCTCTAGTCCATTCCATGACCCTTTCTACCCAGAACCCCAAGGCACTCAGCACTAGCTCAAGGCCACCAGTGGGTCACTCCCTCCCTTTCCCTCCGTGGGGATGGCCTTTGGGAAGTGGCCATCTTGTTTCTTACCCAGACCCCTTGCCCTCCTGAACCCTAAAGGTGCTTCCCAAAGACCCTGAAAGTTGCCCACAAACTGCCAGCCCCGGGTGAGGTGCAGGGGCCAGGAAGCTGGGTTTTGCTGGAAGTGGAGAGGCCTTCAGCCTGGCAGTGCCAGTGGTGGCTGGCCCAGCTCTGCCACTCTCACATGGTGGGCCTTTGGCTGAGGGCATCAGTACCTGTTAAGGGGCACTTTTTTCAGGTTGGGATTCTGGGACATTCTCCAGGCTAGTGAGGTTTGGGAGAGAGGCCACGGGAGGGTGAAGCCTCACACCTGGCCTAGGGATTGGCACAATCCTGCCATAAGCCAGGTACCCTCCTCAGGGCTTTGCTCAGGGTCCCCAAGCTGGTTGGCTATGAAGGTTCCTGTCTGCCCTGGGGCTCTGCTGGCACCACTTCTTCACTGGACAAATTTGCCCTCCTCCTGCTCATCTCACCCTACTCGGAGCCTGTACCCTGCACAGGAACCCTGCTCACATCTGGGGGACTTGGCACTTCAGTGCATGGACACCAGAGACTTTTCTGGGTAACCACAGGCCTTACAGAGAGCAATATCTGCCACCGAAGCCGTCTGCTCACATGACAACCTCCCCCTAGCTGCTCCCTCTGCATCCCTCCTAGATCTGAAGCGCTCCAGCCAGCATCTTCTAGATGCATCTTGCTTCCAGTTGCCATGCCTTCCGGAGCGCATTCTAGACCCTGTTCAGAAGCACCCTACCTGC